CTATACACATCTATTACACTGAGGTTACATCTGTCACCTGTACTTGTTTACATGCAGGTAGTAGACCAATATAGAAGTATGGCATACACTAGTAACTGCTCTGGCACAACCATGATAAAATATATTATCAGTCTTTTTTTTTTTGAATGTGTCTTGAGGGACTGTTTTTACTTTTTTCTTTTAAGAACTCTTTAAATATTTTTACAACATCAATAAAACGTATCAAATCAACATGTGGGCGTGTGTAAAGGATTATCAGGATTGTTATTGTTTTTTCACTTGAGTATCATGGAATGAAATCATCCAATATTGAGAAAACCAGAGCTCTCAGTGATTTATGATGTCATTAGGAGGACATTAATAATATCTCTGAGTGCGTATTGATATCTGAGGCATATGTCAGGGTTGGGAAGGTCAGGAGATGAACCCCGTCGAGAATGCAGGGGAGTGACTATAGATTCAATTTCTCGGTCTCCAGATGACGTTTACGAGTCTGTGACATTATCCACAGCGACAAAGTCTCACATCTGCACCGATTTTCAGCTGTTCGAGTCATTCACCGAGGCCGCAGACGTGAACGGGCGTCACCCCTCAGTTATCAGCGAAGTGGAGAGGGTGGATTTACAACGTTATGCTGAAGACCTGCCATACTATAATACTAAACCTCAACAATCTGTTCTGAATAAATAAGACAAATTAATAAAATAACTTTGTAATCAAAAAGTCAGGAAAAACTATCAGCTGTGTTTGTAAATCTCTGGATCCTGCTGCCAATGAGATATGATGGATTGATGGATCAGGATTTAGCAGACTTCTCCTTTCTTCTGACTGAAATCTAACAGTTTCCCAAGGCAGAAAACATAAACCAGGGTTTTACAAGGATAACACGGTTCATGGCAAATATGTCCTTTACTCAGATGTCTGGCTCTATACCACACATGGAATAAAAACCTGGTCTTATTTGACTGGGTGCCAAACCTGGCTGAGCTGATTTTTTTTCTCCCTTTTTCATTTGGTTCACCCAGAAAGCTTATTTTAGTATCTTTAAAAACTCTTGAATATTAGCAGATTTACAAATTAAACCGTTCATAAACAGCTTTCACTGCGAGCATGGCAAATTAAACCCACTCTTCACTGTTTCGCTTGTATCCCGACCAAAAACCTGATAAATGCCTAAGAGTTAGGTAATTCATTTTTCTATCTGCATGAGTGGCTGTCACTCGTCCTCCTCTCTCTTTTGGCTACCCATAATGCATCAGATGTGTTTCCAGGTCGACCATACTTGATGTTTTTGCTGTAACTACAGTCGGGCTTGGGTCACATACTTCTGTCCTGACCTAACCTGAGTCTAAACTGAACTAAACAGGTAGTCCTTTCAGTAATCTCAATCTTACCGTAGTCTGATGTGTACCAGGAAATCTAGAAAAAGGCCCCAAACTCAAACTAGATGGCTGCATTAGTCACTGCATGGACTCAAAATCCCTTAAAGAAACCCATCGTTTCTGAATACATTTTGCCACAAAGTCAATAAATGCAGGTTAAACTTTAACCATGCACAAAGAAGATAATAGAAATATGAATTCAGAATTCCCTTTTCTTTAAATTATAGATTCTGTGTCATACAGAGAGAAAAAACAGTTAAATGTACAAAATCAGAGGCCCTTTAATCATTTTCTTTATTTTAATCTGACAATCAAATGCTAAATTTACACTTTGGCTGCTCAAATCAATTTATGTCACCGGCTCCACTTAATACGACGTTTCTACGGCTTAAGCAACACAAGAGCAGAACATAAAAAATCACATCCTGCGTGCTAACTTTCATTTGGATCTCTGTTTTCTTTGGGTTTGTCACCTTGTCAAGTCTGCTTCTGTGCTATGACTTATCTTTGTAGGACTTTGAATGAAAACATAATCTCCACACCAGCGTCAATAAAGTCTCCCATTCTTGTTGAGTATTTTGGTTTTTACTCGTACCAAACAGGAGTAACAGAGCCCCAGTCTTAACTGCTGCATGTCTGTGGACTGCTGTTGTCAGCATTCCCCTTCTGCTCTCCTCTTTCAGCTGCCCAGTCGCTCAGCGCGCCCTCCTTTCGGGCTGATCATGAATCATGGAAATTGATTATGCTGTCACATCTCAAATCCCTCTGCCCAGGGCTTGACCGCTGAGTGTGTGACTGCAGGTCGGTCAAGCCTGCTTAAGAGATGCACTGCGGAGAAGGGCCAGTCAGCCGGACTGCCCCCGCGGGGTCACGCAGCCTCCTACCGTAGCGAATGAAAGAGGATCACTCACGTCTGCGGGAGGGAATGAAGATGTCCTGCTTAAAATACCAGAGTCCGGCCATCTCTGCACAGCCTGCTCCTGAAGGTTTCCCACCCTTCCAGCTCCTCGTCACCACTTTCTCCCTGCCATTCGTCTTTATCAGCTCGCTATGTTCATGAATTCATCTCTGACTACAAACCATTCCTCGCTGACTTCCATTCAAATTCTTGGAGGAGTCTTGAGTAACATCAAGAGAAGCCAGAAGACGTCTCTGGGTTTTGAATATCTTCGCCTCATCACATAAAAGAGACAAAGCAGGATGATGAATGGAAAGAAAATGGAGATACTAATCCCCTCAAATTGAAGTGCACTCTAAACTTCTATTCCGAGAACTGAAATTTGCAGAACTGGTGCAGATTCAAAATCAGCTCAGTGCTGCCAAAGATTTAAAAGAAGCACCTGTAAGCCACAGAAAAAAAGAAAACCCCAGGGTTCTAATGAAAAAAAGATGGAGGCAATTTACTTACACTGCAACAAATACAAAAAAACTTTAAAAATCAAAGGTTTACATCATGAATATGGATCAAACTCTGTCTCCTCCTGGGGCTATTTCTCCGAGCGCAGAGTAAAGCTACGCAGGATATTCAGTCATTCACAGACGAATGTTAAAGTTCTTCTCAAGAGTCTTTTTTTTTTTTCTTTTCATCTGAACTTCCAAGTCTTTGTACTTTATCATATCAACATCATTTTCAGCTGCTCCTGGCCCACCTTTGCCTCGAACCCGGAGTTTCCAGCAGACTCCCCTTAATGATTTCTGCAGATTGTTGTTCTTTTTTATTGTGAAGATAAATCTGCTGTAACAAGCTGAAAACAGTCATAAATCTGGGCCTGGCTCAGGTTGCAATGAGACTTTAAGGGTCAGTGTTGCTATGGCGACACATCAATCCTTCTCGAGGCTGAGGCGAGCGCTGTAAAAGCGGTGAGTGTGTGTGACAGTGTTACTGTTGTTATTGTGGGCCGGCCATTAAAGCTTTTTTAAACGACACAGACTGAAGGGCCACTTAACATCTCTGAGGCATGTCCGCGCTGCTTCAGGCTTTTCTGGATCAGAGCTGAATCAGCAAATTTCAAACTCAAGCTTGTTATTGCACTAAAATTTTCCCGCACAGACATTTTATCCTACATTTATTTATGCAGAGGGGAATCTGCGGAGTACGTCCGTCTTTTTTCAGGAATGTCCTGATCCAATCTTATTCTCCAACCTCCAAGAGATGCCAAACTCTTCCCAGTACTCACAGTCGTCAAACGTCCACTGAGGGGGGATCAGGACAGAAGATGAAAAGAAGAAGTTGCGGTGCCAAGTTTGGCCCAACTCGTGTTTCCTTTATTATTTCAATGAGAATTAATCAGCATTTCCACTTAATAAGTTCCTACCCCTCTCGAAGCCCTGCAAACCAGCAGTGGTGTCAGGATCTGGGTTGTTACCGAGGAGAAACTTAGTCTTTATGGTGTGGATTTTTCCACAGCTTTACACTACTGCAGTCGTTGGTGCTTTTTCCTCACAGCTAGAAAAAGTCTTGTTGATGGCAGCTACTTTGGATTTTAATGCTAGCCTTTGAACAAAAACAAATGATGGAGTATTGGGGTGACATTAGATAAAGAAAAAGATCAAGATTTCAGGAAAAAAAATCATGAGACAATCAAGTTGTAATGCTTTGAGATTAAAGTAATATTGTTTTAAGAATAAAGTTATACTTAATTCATATTACAAGACTTTCTGGCAACAATATAACTCGATTTTTCGTAACATTACGACTTTTGTATTATGTTATAACTATCAAATTTCCCCTCGGGAATTAATAAAGTTCTTCTTATCTCTTGTAATGACGACTTTTATCTTGAAATCTAACCAATAAAAAAACTTCTAAGCAACTTTTCAGCATCCCTCTGTGAACAGAGTGTCTGACTTATATCGTCTTTTTTATGCTTGCTTAGAAACTTTCGACAAACAAAGCCAAGCGTGCTGACTTTGGAGAGTCTAATGCATCATTTATTGTTCATTAACACGTTTGTTTCAAAGTTACTAAGTTTATGAGACCAGTGAATCAGACAGCTGACTTCGCTGACTGGCTAGCACACTGTAGCTATTTGCGAGTAAGCTCAAGCCCCGCCTCTGGTAGACTGACTGACAGTTAGGTGGACTCACCTTTACTGACATTGTGACCACAGATGATAGGCTTCAAAATAAATGGGTGACTTCACCAACACTATATCCTGACCCACTACGCCATGAGGTCAAAGGTAAACTTGACATGGCTTCTGCAGGATTTCGTTCAAACTCTGTTATTGAGTAGAGTAGACACAGCCAGGTTAGGCTGAATAATAGGTTAGGGGTTTTTTATTTGTGTTTGTTCTGCCAGAAAAACGCAGTTGCTCAAGTTATTTCATCATCGCTAAGCGAAGAGAACAAACAAGAGAAAGACCGATACAACATACTTAACAGATATCTATGACTGCAAACCAGACCTGAAGTGAGGATTACGAAAGAAAGTAAATCTCCTGATTGCAGTATGTGGGAAAGTGATTTGTCATACTGTTGGTGATGTGCAAAATGCTTTGTTTTCCACCGCTGTTGCACAAAAAGATCAGCAGCATCATCTCAGAGGGGGCTGATGACTACAGCCTTTTGTGGTTGATACATAAATGAGAGAGTATCTAAAAATTTGGCACTCCACACTCAAAGACTCGTTATGAAACATAAACCAGGTTTTCGCATCGTCCAATATCTCGATTTTGTTTTCCTCATGATTTGATTAATTTGTCTTGCTTTTGTTACTGAACTTAATTTACCATTGCGGACAGATGACCAAGCAAGATCAAAGAAAAACCCTCCGTCATCACTTGGTCTGCTGCTCGTAGTTTCTCGAGCTTCCAGCAGCATCGCCTGTCCGATGGAGAGCACTCCCAACAAGGTGTCCCAGCAATGAGCCAGATCCTGTGCTGAAAGATGCGTCTCACGCTCAAACTTCACTTGGTCTTGAGCAAAGCAGTCATTTATCTCTACAGGGACAGTTCACCATTAATGGATGCCAGTTGTTTCTATGCTGCACAATCAAGAACCTTGTATTTGGATAGGGATCAGTCAGATTCAGAAAGCTTCAGATGAGACAGTTGTGTAAATCAGGCTGATCAGTGTTTTTGCCCCTGATGTTTTTTGTGTTCTTCTTTATTGGCGGTTTGGAAACAAATAAGTCTTTTTTTTTTTCTTTTTTTTTTTTTTAATTTATCAAGGCGCATTATGTTCATTCCAGTTTATTGCTGCTAAATTTACATTGAAGTGTGCCTTGTTTACTAGCCGTGTTCTCTCGTGCATTGGGTCCCCCCAGGAAGATGTCAAGAAACATTCGCAAGTACGCATTCATATGAGACCCCCAAATAAAGCTTGCATTTAATTAGGGCTGTCCCAATACGATATTAGTATCGGATATCAGTCCGGTATCAGCAAAAAAACAAAAATCGGATTATATCGGCTTGTATCTAAAATCTCTGATATCAGCACTCCGATACAAGCAGTCCTTTCCAGACACCGCCCACATGATTACAACAGTGTGTACTAAGGTATTGACACAGTAGGAAGGAGTAAGAGTGATGTCGGCCTTGTGGTAGTATTTTTTGTTGAAGTCCGAAAAAGTCATTGCAGCTGAGTGCAAAACTTGTCATGCACAATTTTGTGCTAATTTCGGATCAATATTGGTATCGGCCAACATTGAAGGCTACAATATCGGTATCGTATTGAAAGTAAAAAAGTTGTATCGTTACGTCGCTACATTTAATTATAGGTTTGGCATGTTAATTAATATAAATGGTGGGTGTAATGCTGCATAATTAGTATACTAATTCTAAACTGCTCATCAACATGCTACTAACCTGTTAGCTTATTCATTATTCCTTGGGGGAGTCAGGGTGTCTGTTACTAAGGTGCTGAATAAGATCTAAAGTGTTCCCCCCCCTTGTAAGACACTGTTTTGTGGCATCTTTGGCACCCAGGTGGTGATAGTTCAGTGGGTTTGAGGGCAATGTAATCCCACAGGGGTCTATCTACAGCAGCCAGTCTGGCTCACCAACACGGAGTATGAAGGTATCCTTTAGGCAGATGACACAGTGATCTTCAAAATTGCTGCTTTCTCAGTCATTTACAACAAGTTTGAGTGTCTCTACATATTGCTATCCTAACGGCCCTTTTGTGTCTTTTTTGGTTGTATTGAGTACAGTTTGTATCTCCTATAGGCAATCATGGAAGTGTTGTAGTTTATCAAGTGTCCCAACTCAACCAATCTGTTACAGCGAACATAGCGGTGCAGAGTTCATGGTTTGGAGTGATACAGAAAGCTTCTCATTCAAAGGTTCTGAAAGGTCTAGATGTCTCATGCAGATGCTGAGGTACTTAAAGTCTCTATGAGTTGGTGAAGGCAGCAACAAAGTGTCAGTATCAAAAGCACTGACAGGGAATAAACTGTCAATACGACACTCACTGATGTACATCTCCATCTGTATCTACTGTCCTCCCTCATTGATATTCTTGTCTCCTTTTCCAAGCCATGGTTATTTTTCTCATTCTGCCCCTCTCACCACACTCCTAGTCTGTTTTTCTTTTGCACTTCTGATGCATTGCTCTCGCTGATTAGAGGCTGTTGGTTTCAGGCCCAAGACAGTTTCTGTCCACTCCCAGCAAAGACGTCCAACAAGTTCCACCACAGGCAGAGCTCTTCATTTGGCACGCCAAGCTAGCCACGGCAAAATATGATTGCCTTTCAAATACTTGAACCCAAAGACGGGGCTTCCATGTGACAGCAAACTCTTTCCAGAGTTGCTGGAGTTGGAATAAACACGCAACTTAAACGGACTTTAAATCCCCCAATCAACAGCTCCAAGCCTGATGACAGCGAGGCGATTACTATTTTCCTGATTTTCAGGAAATAAAAGAATAATAATGAATTGAAAATAGATGTGTCTTTATGCCTTCCCAACGCAACATCTGTTTAAGATCTGTTCTTATTTTTTCTTGTTGGATCCTTCCTCACTCTCGAGTGTACAACTGTCTTTCCTTAGAAGCTCATCTCTGCCGCAAAGTGCCACAGGACATGTCTAATCTTCAGACGGCTGCCAAGACTGGTTATCACTCCAATCAAGCTTTCATCAATTACTTAGCTCTTTCCTTGCCATGCAGATCAAACAGTTCAACAATCCTCTGTTGACATTTCACTCTGAGCCATGCTGTTTGCAACAGGAAGTAAGAAACCAGAGAGGCAGATTAATAGAAACCATTCAAAAACACGATCATAAATTGTAATCATATGTGAGATGTCTTAGTCATTGTGTGTTACTGAGAAGAAACATACATATACATTAGCTCCAGACACCCAAAATATGCACAGTGTATGTGCATGTTATGCTTTATATACTAGCTTTAACATCTTATTTCAAAACCTATTATTCAATATCACAGAGCAGAATTTAGAGGTTACCAGAGGAACATTTTACATCACAAAGTCAACACTGAATGCTTGATTTTGGGTATTTCGTCGACAAATTCTTGCCTCAGACATATTTAAGGCTGTAAAATATAACCAGAACATATACAGAAACCACTGATACTGTATGTCAGACAATGTTTTTTTAAGATCCTCTCTGAACCTCCCAGCACTGGATAAATCCGCCTGAGCATGACAAACACAACACATTCAATCTTTCAGGCAGAAAAGTGTAATAATGCCCTGTAAATCCTGCAATCTGCCTCTAATCTCAGCTAATGAAATCGTCATCTGACACTGTGTTGTTGAAGCAGCGTGTGGGGAAGAGACAATCTGTAATTGCCTGCATGGAAATGGTTTCCCCAAGAGGCCTATCCATAGCGTAATCTTGTTATTGCCTGGAAGATGAGAAATGCATTTAGCTATATTGTCATTTTCCCTCCAAAAAAGTGTCTTTGCAAGCATGCAAATGTCCCCTGTCAGCTGCAGTGGAGGCTTTGTGCAGGAGGTATAAAAGCATAGCACAGCACTGATTTGTTGTTTCATAAAAGAGGCATTAAAAAGAGATTTGGATCTGATTCTTTGGGGGATGTCAGAAGTGTTGATCCTATTACCATGAATGTTCATAAACACGTGTTATACAATGAAGAATAGCGATTACGGTAGTATAATTGGTGTTCTACAAGTGTATGTGCCTCACAGATGAGACAACCTCCATATTTGTTTTAATGTCAACAGAAAACGAGTCTTAAAAAAAGGTTTATCTGTGTTTGCAATACTGCGACAGAGTTTTAGGGCCATATTGAGAAAAAAAATTTAAAGCTTCAAGATTAAAGTCATTAACTTAGGAGAATACAGTCATTACTGATGAGAATACAGTCATTACTAATGAGAATAAAGTCATTAACTTAGGAGAATAAAGTCAGACATGAAAGTAAAGTCATAATAAAGTCTTAACTTAAGCGAATAAAGACGAGGTAAAGTCATTATTTACATGAATAAAGTTATTACTTATGAGAATAAAGTCGTAAAAAGGCATTACTTACCAGAAAAAAGTCAATACCAATGAGAGTAAAGTGATAATAGTCATTATTTACGAGAATAAAGTCATTTACAAGCACAAAGTTTAGATAAAGTCATTACTTACGAGAATTAAGTCATCCTTTTATTACAAGCACAAAGTCATAATAAATGTATTACTCATGAGAATAAAGTCTTTACTAACTAGAATAATGTTGTAACACCTGCAGAATAAAGAAGTCATTACTTACAAGAATCAAGTTATTACTTATGAGAATAAAGTCATAATAAAGTTATTACTTTTAAGATTAAATTTGTATTTTAGTTATTACGAGAATAAAGTCATAACTAACGAGAATTAAATCGTCAATTATGAGAACAAAGTCATAATAAAGTTATTACTTATGAGAATAAAGTCATTTTTAACAAGAATAAAGTCGTAATTTAGTCATTATTTACGAGAATAAAGTTGTCATTAAGTCATTTCTAAGGAGACTTGAATTATGATAAATTCCCAATATGAGCTGGTTGTTCACATTTATCATGCACCCTGGTTTTGTCCCCTCATGCTCCAAATTCTGACGCCACTTCAATTTTTTTTCAACAAACTACTTCAATCACTTCAGAATTTAAAAAAATTAATTCACCCGAGAACATGTGTGGATTCCCCAGGAAGATCTGAATATGTATGGTACACACTGAATATGTTAATCAACAGTAACACACAGTGTTGTTAGATCTCAGGACAACAAAAAAGGGTCTAATTTTCTCCTTCGGAAATGTGTCATCATCGCTTTGTGTTTTCACTGTAACAAAAGTCAGCCCTCGCTCTCCAAGCCATTAGCGGAGCTGGAAAAATACTCTTTATTAGTAAAGGATGTCTGCTCCCACTTCAGGCCCGTCCCGCTGTGGAAGCCCAGAATTTATGTTCCGCGGGGAGCGCGCTGGTGAACAGACGACTCACATGTGTCTTTGCAGAGCTTCCCCGCGGCCCCCTTTAAAGGCATTCTGAACTGATTTGGGGGGATATCGTAAAGCAAATGATAAATTTGTACCGCTGTCAAGTGTGGCTGCGTGCTGACGATCTGCTCCAGGAATCATGAAGGAATGCCATATATCCCGACTGATTGCTACTCCCCTGCTCGCTGATGGCAAAGTACATTACATCACTAAAGGTATCGGAAGAAATAACGTTTGTCCTTTCTATTGTTCTGACATGGAACAGCCCGTTTGATGTAATAAAGATGTATATGGAGAGACAGACACTGAACATGTGTCTCCCTACTTAAAACAAATACATATTCATCCTCTTCCTGCTTCACTTTAAAGCCTCTTCATCTTGCAAATGGTTTCTGGCAAGTGCAGATACCATTTCTGCCATTATGCACTG